ATCTTCACAGAGTGTGGTCAGTGTTGAAATAATAGTTGCTTGCAGACCACATATTTATATCATATGGCATCCAAGAAAAGGAAATATAACCCCATTTTATTATATAAAACTCCTGAAGTACATTATGTAATGACATGAATGGTTTTGTATCACTGCTCAGGTGTGAATGCATGTCTTTTCCAGAAATGAGTGTGAGACTGTGTGTGTGTGTGTTTGTGTGTGACTCTGTGTGTGATTGTGTGTGACTGTATGTGACTGTTTCTGTGTGTGTATGTCTGTGTGTCTTATTGTTTGTGACTGTGTGTGACTGTGTGTGTGTGTGTGTGTCTGTGTGTGTGTGTGTGTGTGACTCTGTGTTTCCTGGGCAAGTTGTCAGAGGACGGTATGGACGCGGGGGGTCCCATGGATGCTCCTTAGCTCTCTACATTCTCCGGATGCACATCTCACCCATAGTGAAGCTAGGAAACATTGGCTCCAGGGGGAAAGGTGGAGGAGGAGTTCAATGATGCACATCACAGCCATCAAGGACTTCTGTCCCTGCTGTGGGGTTAGCACTGCTTCCTGATGGACAACAAGGGTCCCCTTATTTGGATGGATGTGGGGCTCCCTGTGTTTGGTGCACTGAGCTGACAGCTCTCCTGGGGGTCAATGTGGACCCAGAGAGTATGGGTGAGGTCCACCAGCCCTGAGTTAACTCAGGCCTTTCAGCAGAGGGAGGGCCCTGTGATCTACCTGGAACCAGGACGGGGAGGGCACATGAAGAGTCAGACTCTTAAGGAGCTGTAACCCCCCGCCCCCAAACCCCTAGAGGGAGGGATGCAGAGCTGTTCACACAGGCCAATCCCAGTAACCCAGCTGTAGAGTTCATATTCCTCAGTGAAACATTGAAAAGAGAGTGAAAAAAAGCCACTTTTAGAATTTGTAGAGGAGCCTTGGTGAAGGAGAGTGCCCACTCCCTGCCGACATGTCACCTGCAAACACATGTCCCTTCTTCACTGTTGTCTGCGGTGAGAACATGAGAAGGAAGAGCCGTCCCCGGAGGCAGCTGAGAGCTTGAGGAAATCATTGAGAGGAAAGCCCTGTGCCCAACAGGAAGGCCCTTCCCTCATCTCCCTCTACCGCTGCTCCTGGGGCTGCTCTCTGTGCTGTGGGTCCTGAGCAGTCCCTGGTGTCCGGAGCACCCCTGATGGTCGCAACTTCTGGTGCAGGGAGGTTTGTGTCTGGGCTCACACTGATTTCACCTCAATGTGTATCTTGCACAGTAATACAAAGCGGTGTCCTCAGATCTCAGGCTGCTCATTTGCAGATACAGCGTGTTCTTGGCATTGTCTCTGGAAATGGTGAAGCGGCCCTTCACAGAATCGGCGTAGTATATGTAACTACTACCATCACTACCAATGCGTGAGACCCACTCAAGCCCCTTTCCTGGAGCCTGGCGGACCCAGTTCATCCCATAGCTACTGAAGGTGAATCCAGAGGCTGCACAGGAGAGTCTCAGAGACCCCCCAGGCTGCACCAAGCCTCCCCCAGACTCCACCAGCTGCACCTCACACTGGACACCTGCAAACACAGAGACACAAGGTGGACTGAGAATTAAATGGAAGCACCAACAGGCACAGGCACAGGTCTCAGCGCTCCCCACTCCTGACAACGACCTTGAGAAATGATCAGGAGGAAAACGCAGCTTGGCACCAAGTCCATGGTGTAGCTGCTTAGGTCCTATCTCAGGCGCTTGGATTCTGGGTGTCTCCCCAACATGCCGGGCAGGGGCCCCATTTTATGAGCAGGAGGAGAGCCCCATTTGCATGGAGTCTGCATATAAGGTGCAGCTGGGACCCTGGGCTGCATGCCTGACCTTGTCATTCTAGTGGTGACCCCAGATGGGAAAGACTTGGGATGCTGACCCACATCTCTTCCCTCTTTTCCGCAGACCCGGTGACCCTGATTGTGAAGCTGCAACCAGCACGGCTAGGGTTCAAGATCTGAACAAGGGACCAACACACAAAGGAAGCACTAGACAAGACATTTTAATTTAGAAATCATGGGGGAGACAGGTGGAAACTTCACGCTATCAGAGAAACCTCCCAAACCTCAGTCCTGTCTTCCTTTTATTCACTTGAATACACACTTTCCATTTAAGAATCAAACAGGC